TTGACGCAATCGTATCTATGTCGACGCTGGTGACTGAGGCGGACTGAACAGCAACAAGTGACACTTTAATCAGCCCCTATTTGTGACTTTTACCAAACAAAGGGGTTCATAGTTTAGATGGTGTTAATGTTGACCTGAGATAGTCAATTGGCAATGACTGACAGAAGTCGTCAGAACATTTTTTGAGTGTTGCATCAACAATAACTAATCCCATTTCACCATTAAATAGGTTTACCCAAACCCATGGTGGCACACTAAATAAAGCACAGTCTCCGTACTTTCTCAAAGTACAGTATTTTGTATATTTTCTATTATTATAGCAGAAGTTCTGCAATGACACAATGGACAGAAAATTGGTCAGTCATTGATCATAAACACCAAAGACAACAAATTTTGGTTTGGACAAAAGAAACTGCTTCCTTTCTGGCAACCCGCACATGCACTGCCGTGGCCATGCTATCTATAAGGATTAGCAAAACATCCACATAAACACAACAGTGACCTGAATACCAGCTCACTTACACACCACAATGTGGCCCTCGTTTTTATTGCTGTCGATTGTTATTTAATCCAGTGTGACAACTGATGTTTGCCAGCATTGAGTTACTTAAAAACTATATATATATAATATATATATACAGTGATACCTCCGCTGACGAACGCTTCAGCTCACGAACTTTTCGCCTCAAGAACATTAAATTCGCGAGCATATAGTCTCTGCTGACGAACTAGTTTTCGGCGGACGAACAAAACCACGCGGTCGAACAGCGCCACGGTGGCGGCCACGAGAAGCTGACGCACGCTCACGGCGTCCCAGTTCGTCACCCCCTTTCTTTGAGTGCGGACGTGGTTTGTGTTTGATAGACATTTTGGACCATATTGAGTGTACTTTTGCTATTATGGGACCGAAAAAGACCCCATCACAGGCTAGTGTTAAGCCTAAGAAGACATTAAAGAAATTTACGATCGAGCAGAAGAAGGAGATCATTGAAAAACATGAACAAGGTGTGCGTTTGTGTGACTTAGCGTCCCAGTACCAGTCTGCTAAGTCTACCAGCCACACCGGAGGTTGAGTTACCTACAGTCCTTATGGAAGGTGACTCTCATTCCAAACAGTAACTCCCTCCCTCCCTCCTCCTCCCACTCCATTCCATCAAGCCATCAACTACCATCACAAAGGTAAATAAAACGACTTTAAATCACATCACAAAGGTAAATAAAACTGTACTTATACAGTACAGTTTATTTCTTTAATTACAATACAATAGCACATTTATTATCCATAAAATAAGGTATATTTTTGTGTAGTTTTATGGCTTATTTAGTAGAAAATTACATTTTATGGGGAACGGGAACGGATTATTCTCATTCTAATGGTTTCCTATGGGAAATAAATGTTCGGAAGACGAACTTTTCGCCTTACACACACTTTCTGGGAACCAATTATGTTCGTGAGCTGAGGTATCACTGTATATATATATATGTGTGTGTGTGTGTGTGTGTGTGTGTGTGTGTGACATATTCAATTACTCTCTTGGCTATAAAAGCCAGTATGCACGTTGCCGCAACTAATGTGGCAATGAAGCGTTGCATGGCCGCAATGCACAGAAGAAGCCCATCGACACACTTAACCACTCAGTTGCCATCTTGAAGTCCCCGGCGATCTCTTCCCTTCACTTGTATGCGGTAATTGTTTGGCTCCAATAAATTCATTGGATTCATGAAGAGGAACTCTTGCATTCCATTGTTTATTATTCAAAGTGTTTTAAATAGTTTTTGTGATGTTGAACAGTGCGTAACCCAGTGTCACCCCTCTCGAGTCAGATGTGTTCCGATCATTGAACTCAAGTGTACAGAAGTATATTACCGGTAGTTGTATGTGTTTGTGTGTGTGTGTGTGTGTGTGTGTGTGTGTGTGTGTGTGTGTGTGTGTGTGTGTGAATGGCTGCATTTGCCCAAAAGACATTCTGAAAAGGCTCAACGGTGGCCTCGCTTCCTCCATTAATCCATCTCCTTTTACAGGGGCTGTCAAGACAGTGTTTGTTTGCATCCCCGCTTCAATAGGTGCATGCTCTCTCTGTGCCACCGTGTGCGCCTGCAAGTCCATGCCCGTGCATGCGCGCAGCACAACTTGTAATATTTCACATCTTTACCCACAGGGATAGACCATTCATTTCCCAAAGCCACAGTGTGGGTGTCACACTGTGCTAATGAGAGGAAGGCTGGAAACGAGGGAGATCTGGCCGCTGAGCAATGAAGGAAAGAGTAAAAATAGACAGATAGCTGAAAAAGAAAGGACAGTGATCGATAAGGGTTGCGTCATCAGGAGTATTGATAAGGGAGGGGTTTTCATGCTGGGAGTGTGTGGGCGGATAGAATGTTTTTTAAAATATTTTTTTAAGGACTTCAAAATCAAAGAGGAATTCCAGCCGCATTAAAAGGAAACATATGATTTCGGAAATGGGTGCTTTTTAAGATCAAAGACAGGTACCGTGCTCTTGTGACAAATCAATTGACACCAGGCTAAGCCTTTGATTGCAGCTGCATCGTAGCTCGCATGGCTACAGCAGGCAAACAAATCAAACACACACACTGACAAGCCTGTAAAATGACAATGCGGTCATCAGATGCTTCTTGCTGTGCGCATGTGAGTGTGTCGTTAAGAAGACCAGATATCACTCCGCTTTCCCCAGTAACTCAAACAAGGGGGTGGCTGCTAGGCAACCAAGCCACATCACATCAGGCTATCCTGAAGAGAGCGCGAGATA